CTGTTACAAGCTCTTGGTGCATAAAGAAGATCTGTAAAGTTGCAAAGACTAAAGTCTCAAATCCAAAGAGATATTCTTTATAAAAGTTCAGAGTCAGCCACACCTACCTAAAATGGCTCGTTCTAACACGCCCCCACATATCTACCTCACTATGTGGGAAGATTTGCATAACGCCGCTCAAATGTTCACGCAAAGAAAGAAGGCGTAACATAATTTGCACAATCTAGACATGCGAGTCAGCTCTTGAAGAAGCATAAATGCATTTGGTTACACTGTGCATCAGGAAATGGGTCTCTTCACCATCATTTGATCAATAACTGCTGCCAAGATGACTAGAATTTTAATTAAAACAAACTGTTAATTGCAGTAGGCAAATTTACTTTTGTGAATACAACACAAAAATCCTAATTTGCATATAAAAGAAGACCTGTTTGTGTTGAAATAAATGGCAATCATTTAATTTAAATATGCATGGCACCTGGTTAAACTTAGTTTAGTGAATAACACAAAGGCGAAACTGTGGATTTGCCATCAGCACTCAGTGATAAAATGTCACTAAATACAATTCAGTCAAATGAGAGAACTGTTAAAAGGCCTGAATGCTTTGTAAGGCTCTTGCTATGGTATTTATGATATACAGGATCCATATGTTATCCAAAATATGTGAGAAAATGCCATATGGTGCCTTAGAGAATGGGTGGATAGAGTAACGGACAACAAGATGGATGGAAAGGACATAGGATGAGTAAGAGAAAGGAGGAAGCAAATAGTGAGGATGTGTGGCAGGAAAGGAGCCAAAAAGAGAGCTGGATGACAGAGAGAAAGTGAGACAGCAGTAGAGTGAAACGCTGGCAGAGAAGACAAGGAATCAGATGGAGGAAAACAAAGACTCTCAGACAAGCATTTGTCCTTGACATTTCTTCGTCTCCAGGCCCCGTGCAGCGTGCTGACGGAGTGTGATTTAACTAGGCCACTGCCCTACTCTCAAAAACACAGATAGACAGGAAGAGGTGAGACTGTGAGAAAACAAATGTCTCCAGTCCTCAGCTGTTGAATGTATGGGAGAGATCTTGAACCATCACACGTTTTTGTAGGTATTTACTCAATAAGGTATGGGTGCTCATGCTGCACTGTGTATATAATCAAACTAAACACTGAATTTAAATGAATTTAAATTTATTTGACAAGTTTACAAACTGTACAAAATAACAAGTATCCCATACACTTTAAAAAACTGTAAAATTCCTACCCCTAATACCATAAGAATGCTGTTGCCTCACCATATGAAAGTAATTTTCTAAAAACCCTGTAACCATATAAAAATGTTTACACGTCATAGCCAATAAAAAAAAAACATTCTTTTTTTCACAGTTAGCAAACCCAACTCCTTAAAACATTCAATATGCAAATGCATTCGAGGATGAACTTTTAAAATTATTCTGACTCATTTGATTTGAGCCCTTTGCAATATATCTTTCATACTCTGGGAACAACTACTATAACAGAAAGTGGTGGCATAATCAAAATGGGGTTGAATCAGGGCCCCTGCCAACAATTTTAAGGAATAAATATCCAATAAGTCAGCTTGCCTTGTTAAAAATCTAATTTAGCACATTCTTTTGTAAATAACTATCTAGCCATATAATCACCTGTTAATTTATTATCTATTAAACCCAAATAATTTACAAAAAAAATTGACTCTATTATCATATCGTTAATCTTAACCAAAAAGAGTATCATCCTTTTTTAATTTCATTCTAGAAGCAAAGAGAATGGCTTCAGTTTTACCTATATGCAGAGAAAGTTTCTTGTCTAAAAACCATTTGGACATCTCTTGTCACTTTCTCCAGGACCCCTTTATCTTGACGAAACTCTTAAATTGCTGCATCGTCAGCATTAAGAAAAAGTTTCTCTGAACACGCTGCTTAAAAATAATTTATATATAAAAGAAAAAAATAAGGGACCTAAAATACTCCCTTGAGGAACTCCACAACTGATTGATAAAGGACCAGACAATATATCCTTAATATCGACTCTCTGGCTTCTTTCATCAAAATAGGACTGAACCCACCTAAGGGATTTCTCATTAAACCCAACTGCCCTTAATTAATACACTAAAGCACAATGCCAAAGTCCCTTTTAGCAAAGTCAAAGTTCACTTGGTGGCCTTATTGGCAATGCTCATGAAACAAGCATAGCATCTATCAACATTCAAAATTAACCATATATATATATATATATATATTTATTTTCTCTATAGAGAAAAAAAAATAGTTTTAAGGATAAGTTATAAACTTTTAAAAATGTAGACCTAATGTGAGCTGGGATGTTAAAGGGGTCATATGATGCTGCTAAAAAGAACATTATTTTGTGTAATGAAATGTGTTTATGTGGTTTAAGGTTAAAAAAACACATTATTTTCCACATACTGTACATTATTGTTTCTCCTCTATGTCCCTCCTTTTTGAAATGCGTCGAGTTTTACAAAGCTCATCGGTCTGAAAAAGCGAGGTGTGCTCTGATTGGCCAGCTATCCAGTGCGTTGAAATTGGCCGAATACCTCAAGCGTGTGTCGGAAATGTTACGCCCCTCACCATACTGTGATGTCGTGTCCCAGCCGGAGCGACGACACAAAAACATTAAAACTCATTACAAACGAGGCATTTGTTGCATCCAGTGGGGACATAATTACTGATTATAATTACTTATACTGTCTTTTTACGCGTTGCGTTGCATTGCATCGTGCCGCATAAACATAAAACCCTGTCTGCATTTGTGATCAGAGAAATGACAAACAACAAGCCCTACTCTGCTCAAAACTCCCGTTTGAATCATCAGTATATGTTGATATACGATGATATAACTTATTTTTATATAGTCATGTTTAAAAGCAGAACTCTGGGTGAAAAACTACAGTACAACTTTTTTATAGTTTCTCTCTCTGTATTCGACATCTTTAAATGAATTGTTTTATATTTCTACATCATTTGTAATTAAATTATGCTATTCGCAATTCTTTCCCTTATTATAGGCTGGTAATTACAAATTCTTTGTCTTTTTGTTCCATTTTCAAATACTTTTTGGCTTCAAATCAAAATTTGTAGTGTTTTAACTAACCTCGTAGCTGGTTTGCTTGATTCATGCTTCTAACTCTTGTAATGAAGACTGTTTTAAAATCCCTATGGGAAAAATGAACGGAAAAAATACCTACAGAACCAAGGCTGCTGAAAAAGTGGGCAGGCACTGTTGCACTCTACAGCAACTTCGCAGGTTAAATATAGAATTCATGTCATGTGCGGTCACACGTATGCAAATACAAGCTATTCTATGGTAGCTTTGAACGAGTTATATTTTCAGTCAGAACTGTCTAAAATGTGTTTCAGTATCTGTGGCTTTGGCCTGTCCATTGACTGAGTGCCACATCCAATTAAATGATGAAATATTAATGATTATAAGAGCCTCTTTCCAGAAGTGCCACATAAAAGACAGACACCCAAAGAAGAAATCAGCAGTGAAGAGACTTAAAGAGCATGAGAGTAGGTGGGGAAAAAAGAGTGAGAGCGTGATTACACAGTTGAATGAGACACAGAACAGAGGAGATGAATAGAACACAGCACGCAGATGACACCAAAACTGGAGACAGGAAGAGTAACCTTGGCAACACAAGAATTCATAAACTAGGCGTATCCCCTCAAGTAGGCAACTTTTACTGATAGCCTGCTAATAAGCTAGTCTTAAAGGGAAAGTTCACTCAAAATTTAAATTCTGTAATTTATTCACCATCAAGTCGTTTCAAAGCTGTATGAATTTCTGTGTGCCGTGAACAAAATGAGTAATTTTGTACAATGTTCACACTGCTCGTACATTTTGAGAAAACATATTTTCAAACATTTTGTGTCATCAACTTTTATGTTCCACAGACAAAAGAAAAATCATACAGATTTGACCAATATGAGGGTGTGTAAACAATGACAGTTTTATTTTTGGGTTAACATTTTTATATGTAATAACATGTGCTACTGTTCAAAAGTTTGGGGTCTGTTTGATTTATTTTTTACTTTTTTATGTTATTGAAATCGTCTTTTTAAAAAGTCTCTTATGCTCACCAAGGCTACATTTAATTGATCAAAAATACAGTAAAAACAGGAAAATTTAGAAATATTAATACAATTTAAAATAACTGTTTTCTATTTTATTATATTTTAAATGTAATTTATTTCTGTGATAGAAAAGCCACATTTTCAGAAAACATTCTAATAAGCTGATTTGGTGACAAAGACATATTTCTTTTTATTATCAATGTTGAAAACAGTTATGCTGCTTAAAATTTTTTAGGGGAACAGTGATACATTTTTCTTAGGATTCAAAGAACAGAATTGACCCAACATCAGTCTTTACTGCCTTTTTTATTTTGAAAATAAAAATAAAAATAATAAAAAATTTAATAAAAATAAATGTAATGTGTCTTCCCTGAATAAAAAATATTTTTTCTTTAAAAATAAAATAAAACCTTACTAAAACCTTACTCAACTTTTGAACAGTAGTGTACATCAAACTCTACTTGCTAAGCTTATCAAAAGCCCTAAGTAGACAATAAATGATCTATAAATGCCCTAATCTATTATTTATACATCTTAGCAAAATTCACTCTTAATAAAAATAAAGGTTCCAAAAGGGGCTTTACAGAACAACCTGACATAATTAAAGAACCTTCTTCATTTTTATAGTTCCTTAGAAGGTTATCAATGTTCTGGTGCTACAAACAAAGCCCAGGAGGGCTTTTCCTCAGTGAATGGATGATATCAAGGACAAATATACTGATTTGAAGAATGTATAATGTAACATCAAGAACTTTTTCTCCAAAGAACAATACAGCATCTCATGTAGCCAAGAGTCTTAATTGAAAGAAATTCTACAAATAACCTCTGAAGGACCTTTATTTTTACTCAAGCATAGATCCTTGTCATTCTGCATGTGTAAGGTAAGGTAATCATCCTAACCTGATTCTCCTCGTGGGTCACCCGCATCTGTTCTTTAAGGATTGAAGTGCGCGCTGCCTCCTCTTTCCTCATCACGCGTTCTTTCTTCAGCTCGGGGCTCCAGAAGCTCTTGATGCTGTTGGTGGAAGAGCCCAGCTTGCTGTCCTTAAGGTCCAGCTCCCTCCGAAGTAGCTCGTTTTCCCTGTGCATGTCCAGGAGCTGTGCCTGGAGCTCCAAAAGTTCACCTCCACCACCCCTGACCGCCTGTCGCAGCAGGGCCGACGGTGTCCCCTGGTGGTGGAGCATAGACAGCGAGCCCAGGTCGCCATAAGACAGCAGGTCGGCGTGATGGAGTCCCGCCGTTGCGATATTAGGGGTGCTGCCCATGGCTGTGACCCGACCACCGTACATTGCTCGACTCGTGGCCCGACCGAGCGTCATGGTGCCTTTAGGGTAAGTAGCAGTGGATCCGATGGCTTCATGGTCACTTAGGTACATTGGGCCAGATGTTGCGTAGGCAGCATTGAGGGACTGGATGTTCTCCATGGATAAGGTCTTGCCGCTCGAACTGCCACTGTTGGCTCGACGGTGGCCTAACCGAGGAGAGCGGGGCAGCCGCGGGGAACGAGCAGGACTGCCCTCGATGTGGCTGACGGCGCGCGCGCTACCATACATCTCCCAAGGTTCTGTAACACTGAGAGTCTGTAAGAAAAGCCCCTTCACGGATTGACAAGGGTGTTTACTGCATCCTAGAGAAGAGAAGAAAAGTCGCACACTTCAAAATGCAGTCGAACACTTCAAAATATCTGCAACAAAGCGGCTTGTGTGCTGCCAACTATTGTCTGGAACAATTCTTCGCTTTCATTCACAACAGCCTAGAGCTAATCAAAATGCAAAGACGTATTCAGTTCCTGAGAGATGTTGCGCAACATAATGAGACATTGCATCCCTTTTCATTTCAGAGACAACGTAACTTCCTTTAAATTTCTGCCTGAGGTGGGTTCTATTCATCAGAAAGATGAGTCAAAATAAAAAGTGCCCCGCAGTTTTTCTCGGAGGTGGGGACCACATGCTGCTCACAGGGATGATGCTGATGCTGTGGAGGGGGTTGCTATGGCAACAGTGACTGAGATGATGGAGGAGAGTGCACCTGTTTTCACTCGTATGAAATGTGAGGATGTGTGGGCATTCACGGGCGTGTGAGAGAGAGAGAGAGAGAGAGAGAGAGAGAGAGAGTGAGAAATGTACATTTATGCTGACTTTAAATGAAGCCAGTCTGTAGATGGCCTGGTCATCTGTACACTTCCGTGCCAGAAACAGGACACATTCGGCCTTCATCTTTCCATCCGGACAGAGACCATATATAGCACACCATACTGGACAAACGGGGGGAGGGCTTCACCCGAATGCCAAGATTTTTACATCTTCTGGTGCTTGCCTGTGCAAAACTCACAGTTTTCTGGGTGGTTGCTTACTGGTATGAGTCAAAAGAACTCTCCAATAAGTCACTGTAAAGAAATATCCTGTTAAATTTACAGTAAAAAAAAACGGCAACCAGAAATGATGAGAGTGTTTCCAGTATTATTGGCTTGCATACTGGATGAGCTATGCCCAGAAGTTAGTTCAAACTTCTAAATCTTGGCATGAGCTATCAAATGATGTTTGCCTCAGGAAACAAAACTAACTAAACTATACATTCTGAAGCTTCATTTCCTGTTCCAACACCAAGGTCATGGGTTTGATTTCCACGGAACACGTGATAAGATGTACACCTTGAATGCACTACAAGTCACTTTGGATAAAATATCTGCCAGCAGCATAAATTAAACAAGCAAATGCTGCTTTTGGTCTCAACGGACGTAGCTAACAGAGACTGAGCTGATTAATGTCAGCACAGAAACTTCTGAATGAGAACTTAATGACAGAAAGAGCTTGTTTCGGTCAGTAATATATAGAAGCCAGCTGCTCTCCAGCATAAATGGCTTAATCAAGGTGGCAGGGTGCATATCACGAGCCACTGACTCTCTCTCTGCCACCCACTCTGACGCTGAAAACAGTGTGTGCATAGAGCCACAAAGGGCAAATTACCCAGACTTCAATAATGCATGTTAAAAGAGAAACTGGCCAAGCGATACATCTGTTGCATGGAATGCGGCTTAACCAATACATTTATGTTCAGTGCATTATTTAAACCCAAATTCAATTTAACTCAAGTCAATCATTTGTACAAGGATACTTTTTTTCACAGAACCTACCCTGGTAAAATATCTTATTAGCAGTCTATCATCACAAATCGAAGCAGATTGGCATATGTAATAAAAGAAAGAACAGATGCTGAAAGTACAACTTCTCCAAAGTTCATTCGTTTAACCTTAAAAATGCAAAGATGCATTTCTAGTCAATTAATGTTGCAGATCTGTGCATATCTATACAAAATGTTTATTCACTACATACTAAATTCAACCCAAATTTCCAAGTATAAATCAAGCTGATGTTTCTCTTCTAACTTATATCTTAATAAAATATAAAATAAAAGGATTTTAAAGCAATAGTGACTGTTTACACTATAAAAAACCATTGCTTCCACATGTCTGTAGGGTCACATTGAGACAAAATATCACATACTGTCCGTTTTAATCAAGGGTTGCCAGAAACACTGTTCAAGCACCAATAAATTCTTTGATATTTTGAAGATCAGACAGAAGCCCCATGTGAAAGCCCTCCCTCATCCTTCAGCCACTGGCTGTGCAGGATAACATCTGTCTGCTGATTGGCTTTCACCAATGTCAATCATCCCCAAAAATCACTCCTAGAGGCTGACAGGTCATACATGCCCATGTTTTTCCTAAACAAGAAGAAATCAATGAGAAAACCACCAAACGCAATCTACATTTGAAAATGCAATGCACCTAAATTAAGATAAAAAAGATAGGTTTATTCAATAATATTAAGTGGCATTTCTAACATTAACATTGCATAATTCTGATTTAGACAATTAGACCGCAGACAGAAACATCCATGCAGAAAATATCACCCGTTTGTGAAGATAAACTAACGAATATCAAGCCAGAATTGAATATGCATTGATCCTGAAGCAAATGCTTTTGAAACAGCATCGAGCGACGCTTCATCTCGTTCATACTACAGCGGATTTAAGCTCATTTTCCATCATTCAAAAATAATATAATTAGCTCAAATCGATGAATCCGACCTACATTTCGATCCTTTAATATAAACCCTACCTAACTGGAGTGAATGGATGCCATTGTGTCGTTAGATCACGTTTCGTTACCTTCAGCGTCGTCGCCGCTCCATCACTGTGCGGGTCCCCCAGCATCAGCATCAGCGTCCCACGTCCTGCATCCACTCCAGTATCAGCATTCCGCTCTCTGATTGGACACACGAACACAAACTCCGCCCTCGAACGCATAAATGAGCGTCAGATTTAAAGGGCCAGTGCATAATAGTGACAGGCGTCGACCACATGAGGCGTTTTCATGCATGTAGCCTATGTTGTATTGCACTGCATTGTCACTTCTTCGCCTGAAAAGATTGAATTAACACAACGGTTAAAACAACGTTAAGTTATGAAGACGTGTGTGTGTGTGTGTGTGTGTACCTGGTATTTATCACGTTATGGGGACCAAATTATGGGGACATTTTTGAGGTCCCCATGAGGAAACAAGCTTATAAATCATACAGAATGAGTTTTTTTGAGAAAGTAAAAATGCACAAAGTTTCCTGTAAGGGGTAGGTTTAGGGGTAGGGTTGGTGTAGGGCAATAGAATATACAGTTTGTACAGAATAAAAACCATTACACCTATGGAATGTCCCCATAAAACATGGAAACACAACATGTGTGTGTGTGTGTGCACATATAAACGTATGCATGTATCTATAGGCTATATACACACACACAACAATGCTTAAATGATTCTTTATATGCCTACACAATACAATGCGCACACACAACGTGTATGTTCATATGTTTCTGTACACTTATAAAGATAGAATTACAACAAGGGTTAAAACAAGTTGTGACTAGTTAAGTTATGACTATACACACACACACACACACACACACACACACATATATATATTTAATAATTATTATATTAATTGTATAATTACTTTTTAAACTAATTTTATAATTAGTAATATTAGTATTAACCTTTCTGTTCCCCTACAACTATTTTTTTCCCTCTAGTTTTAGGAGATAAAATATCATTTTAATATATATATATATATATATATATAATCCTTTTATACACTTTTCTTGAAATTTTAAACCACTAAAAGGTTAAAAGGGAATTTGGTTTTAAGTGCTGTTCTCATTATGAATTATGTGAAGGTCACATCTAAGAAGTTTGCATGAAGTTGACGGATGAGCTACTCACCGTCTGCGGCCATGCCAATCATATGCAGCCAACTGTGATCATGTGACCCCTGCTGTAATTGGCTTTGATGCCTCCGGTGATTTCTGATTGGCTGACTGTCACAGACTTCCCCTTGAGCTCTTGCTCTAGACATGAGGCTTAAGGGTGGAGAGACTGTCAGAGCTCTGTCTTTACTATGCTCTGGACTATTAAAGGGGTCAAATGATGCTTTTTTTAAAGATCATTATTTTGTGTATTTGGTGTAACAGAATATGTTGACATGCTTTAATGTTCAAAAAACACATTATTTTTCAAATACTGTACATTATTGTAGCTCCTCTATCCCCCGCCTCTCTCAAACAGAAGAGTACCGATATATTATAAGAGAGCAAGATCATTTTGTACTGATACATATATGGAAACATAATAAGACATTAAGTCCATATAATGTCCATAATGATCTTGAGGGGGGGGAAATTATAAGGTGTGAATAACAATGCAATACCATCTATTTAGCATCTTTTGTCACTTTCAGCAGTTTTAACTCGGTTTCATAATAAATTAATGTTAATTTCAATGTGACCTGTGAAGTTTACAGCAAATTACTTGATTAGCCTTTGCATGACTCAACCTTACCAACCAGCTCTGTTAGTCCCTCGGTGGTGTGAGTAATGTCTCATCATCACAGTGCTTTTACACGAGACAAGCCTTCCTGGCGCAGAGGGGTTTAGTGCATGTTGACGGTGAGTGTGTGTGACAGTGGCTGGACAAGAAAACACATAGTTACACAAACACACGTCATGAGTTAACAGAAGGCAAGTCGAGGCTCGAGCTCTTACAACACACTTCACACTCGTTTTAGTTGATCACTTCATCCAGATGAAGAACTAATGTTGTTTATACAAAGATATACAGTTTCTATTTGCCCAGAATATTATTCTGTTCGAGCATTAAAATTGTTGTAAAACCTCTGTATAGCAGAAGAGAGATTGCAAATTTCCGCCTTTTTGATAAATCTAGTTTTGTCTTCCCACAAAATATATTTACTTTCTATCATATTTTCATATCTGTCGTTTCTTAGCTCACATAGAGGCAATGGTCCTCTGATGACACCAAGAGGTGGTGTCAAAAACTGCAGCTTTGCAATTCAATCAGTGAATTTCTGTGCATTTTGACAATTGAATGCTATTTCTAAATTTCATAAGTAAACCATAATTTTACATTTTCTTTAGAAAATGTGAGCGGGGCATACTGAAATGCATTTTCCATTTATTCCATTTAAGATAACGGCATATACGGCATGTAAAAAAAAAGAAAAAAGCTTTTTATGTCTTCCAGAAGTGATCAGGCCAGAATAAGTTGCAGTGTGGAATCAGATCTACTGATACTGAATCAAGCAAGTAAAGAAGAACATTCCACATGATTTGTGGTCATTCATATCTGTAGCACAAATGGTGTGATAGTTCACCCAAAAATAAAATGAAAATTTCTCAGTCCATCCAAGATGAGTTTGTTTCGTCATGGGAACAGATTTGGAGAAATTTAGCATTGCATCACTTGCTCACCGATGGATACACTGCAGTGAATGGGTGCCGCGAGAATGAGAGACCAAACAGCTGATAAAAACAGCACAATAATCCACAAGTAATCCATACCATGCACTCCAGTCCATCAATTAATGTCTTGTGAAGCAAAAGATGCATGTTTTGAAAAAAACAATTCCATCATTAAGGCATTTTAACTTGCTTCTGGACAAAATACAAATCCATAATCCATGATAATGCTTCGTCCAATGAAAAAGACCATCCCCTGTCATCCGCTCACATCAAAATCTGCTGACATATTTGTTTAGAACTGTTTTCACTTGTAAATGGAGCTTGATCTGTGCATTTTCAATCCTGATTCAGATAAACAGACTTAAAGAAATACTACTGTATATAGATAGACTTGTATTTTAGCTGGAAGCAACGGTTTGAAGTGAAAAATGCCTTGATGGATTTGTTTCTTACAAACACGGCTTTTGCACTTCACAAGAAATTAACTGACAGACTGGAGTCGTTTAGATCACTGTGATTATTTTAACTGCTGTTTGGACTCTCATTCTGACGGCACCCATTCACTGCAGAGGATCCATTGGTGAGCAAGTGATGTAATGCTAAATTCCTCCAAATGTGTTCTGATGGAGAAACAAAGTCATCTACATTGGGTGGTCTGAGGGTCAGCAAATTTTTGGGGGTGAACTATTCCTTTAACCCCAAGAGCAATAGTATTAGTAATGCTTACAACTGAAATTAAAAATAAAATTGCTTAGGATAAGAAAGAGGTTGACATACCTTTTCTCTCAAATGAAAGGAAAGAAATGTACCAATACACGAGAACATTTTATTTTCATTTTTTATCTTTATTCTTCTCCATTCTGGAAACAAATTGCAGGTTCATTATTTTCATAATCACATTACATGACATGATGCACCAAAATGTATCTTTTTAACAGGAATACATTGAAAAGAACACAATATTGCACAATGAATACTGGACTCACATTTAGCCCATTGCACTTACAACAGTGAGTGAATTTTCATTTGTGAGAGCATTTTTCTGAAGTTTTGTCTTTTTTCGTGTTGTCTTCGATTCCTGATTAAATTTATAATACATCTGCTAATTCACTCTGAACCCTCTTTTCTGGCATGGTCATGATGGAAGTCACTTACATATTTTTCATTGTCTTTAAATTTAATAAACACAATATGTATAGAATCCCTACACAGACCAAATATTTTCAGGTTGTAAGTTTTTTTTTTGGGGGGGGGGGGGGGGGGGGGTTCCCACTGTAGTCAACAGTCATTGAGATCCAGCAACATATACTATGATATTTTCCCATAATAATAACAACAATAATCATTATTATTTTATACACAAAAGCACAAAAGGTTGGCAGCAAGGCCGGCGTGAAGTTGCACAAGACGGCCATCATTTTAGTGGGAATGGTTTTACATGGATTATTGCATAGAACTTTTGAAATTGGTTCAAAACCTTTTCCTAGGTGGATCTACATACCGGTAAATGTGTTTTTGGGAAAATTTGGATGCGGTGAAGGTGTAGTTTGTTGGGGTTTGTAGAAACTTATTTTACCTGTCTATGTACGACAATCAGATTTGTGATGAGGAACTTTTTGTGATGAGCAAAAATTGTACTCTGTCCGATTAGCATGCTATTGCTTCAGGGAGAAAAAAACAACTATATATATATAAACAGTTTAGATTATCGATAATGACGAGAAAAAAATATGTAAAGGTATACATAATAATAATAGCAAACATTAAACAAATAAATACCAGAAATATAAATCCATAAATACAAAAAAAATCAATATCTTACATTAGCAGAGTGTTAACAAGAGATATGTACATGTTCAGCAGTATACAGTTGTGCAAAATAAATCAAGTAAGGATGATATGGAACTTTTTTTTTTAAATATGTGAGGTATACAAGTAAAAAAAAATTAATAAGGCTCTTAATTTAAAAGAAAATTAGGCAAAAAAATTTTTTTTTAAAGTACAGAAACGTAGGGAATTCCGGATAGGGTAGCGGTGGTTAATGGTTGATAAAAGACGGACAAGACTATGCTAACATTCTGACATTACTGACCTCTGCACTTGACCGATAGTTTTACGTTAAATAGCCAGCATTTTACACAAGGTGTACATGGCTTCACCCTTTGAGACTCTGAAAAGATGTCTAGATATGGATTCATATATATCTCATATATGTATACATATATATTTTTGTGCGTGCATTCCATGTCCACGGTTTACACATTTGCATTCATTACACACGTGACAAAAAGGTTAAGAAGAAACAAAAACATTCATAGAGAGGGTCAATCATCGCCATATTGGAATGTCAAGATCTTAGAAATCGAGCATACGTTTTTTTAAACAGAGTTTGTTTGAAGCCTTTGTAAGGTAGTCGTTCTCCTTCACTGCTAAGGTCTCTTCAA